GCTCTTCTGATGATTGAATTCTATTTTGATCATCCAGTAAAAATATCAGTATTTTAAAAACAAGACTACCCTCAAACGCTGTTGGCTTATAAATACTTAAAAATACATTTAAACGATCTGATTGATACTGACAACGATCGCCATAATAAGGTGGAGGACAAAGACATAAACGATTTGATGATGATGGTGCCGCTAGTGGGTGTGTTAAAACTATTATACCGCGATTACAATACCATGTTAAATTAGCTATATCTAATAATGAATTTATTATTAAAGTTGTTGAATTGTTTTTATTATTATTTGTGTTGTTTTCAATAGCAGCTTTCGGATTATACGAATTAATTATTAGTGGATATTCTATAAAATCTGATGTTGAAAAATATTTTGTTGTAGTTTTGTCATTAAGATCACAGAGCATTAAGTCTTCTAAATCTTTACAATGAAGGTCTTCAAATATAAAATCAGGTAAATCTGCTTGCATCTGGCAACGTCGACCAAACAATTTACCATTTTTGCATGTATATAGTGTATATTCATTTGCCCAAACCGTTACTGGATATTCATCTAACCAGGGACAAAGTATTTCTTCGTCATCACCATAAGGCTGACAATCAATTCTACCATTACATAATTTTGATGTATCAATGCACAATGTACTGTTCCAACACCTAAGAAAAGAAGTTTACGAGCCTAGATATGCTTTCCAAATATGAAATATTCTTCCGCTCAGCTCTGTTTGGGGTCCAAATCTCATTACTACGCTCTGTCCCTATCTCTTTCAAGAATATACATGATCGAACAGCTCTAGTTGTATTCATATTTTGTTCCCTTTGTTCATTGGAGAATGCTGTCCTATTTCATTCTTTATTTGGGTTTTCAGTTATATAGGCACCACTAAGGCTTCTATTTATCAGATGTTAGAAGTTACTAAATGTTTACTTTCTTTGTGATGTCCTTGCTTATGCTAAATAAATCTGAACTTGAATTTGAACTAGTGAATGTGTACCTCATGCCCCTTTCCGTGGAGGAAAAATAATGAAAAGCAACTTTGCCGCACAGCTAATTGTGCATGACATCTTACAGGATGCGATAAGGTTCACGGACGGCTATCTGTGCTTGACTAGATGTTCAGCGTTTTACAAATAATATTTAAATCACTAAATTTCTTCTTTAAATTTTTCAGACGAAAATTATTTTTGGCTTAAATACACATGATTGGATAGCCCGGAAGCTGAAGGTGATGAATGTCATAGTTTTAGCCTTTCTAGTGCACCTGTTCACATGAAAAAGTTCAAAATATTAGGAGGGACTCAAATTTCTAAAAACCGCTTATGTTCGAAAAATTATCGCACTTTGGAAATTTGCGATGGTATTTTTCGGGAAAACAGATTCTAGGAATGTTGTATAGAACCGCATCACATATGCTCTGCCTTAGTGCCACTCGTCCTTTGGGATGGTATTTTTCGGAATCAGCATGAAAAACAGATTCTAGAAATGTTGTATAGAACCGCATCACATATGCTGTAGTCAAAATAAAAGTATTTCTATACACATAGCTCCAAAATTACAAACTCATTTTGCAAACATATCTAGTCCCTAGTTTTAAAAGCTAAAGTCTTGATTCTTATGCCATTTGAATCGCCATCCAATTGACAACAAAAGTACGAGAAGCTTTTTTCGAGAATGTTTTTCATTGTCGAGAAATGTCATGTTTTTTAGAAGTGGGGCTAAAACGGACAAGTCATGTTTTTATAAAATTTTCAATTTTTATCTAAAACACCTAAAATTCGCATGGAATACATAGAATTTCATGTAGAATCCAGCGAGCATATCGACAAAGTCTTACAAGAGTTTTCTAGAGGTTTTTTAGAAAACGTTTCGCTTGGATACATGATATTTTGTCGTGGAGAACGCACGGCAGTTCACCTGAACGACACCTGGTGTATCAGGCTGAAAAGGCTCGTCGCGGCATTGGGATTAACTGGAAGCCGCCAAATCTCTAGTCCACCGGGAAACAAGGTGCTTCAGAGAGTGAAAGTCTGAAGATAAACACCGAAGCTTTTTTTCTTTTAAAATCGATTAATTTCTGATTTTCCAAGTTATTTACGGATTTCTTCTCACGCTTAAAGTTACTAAACGAAAGACCTTCAGTCGTAGTTTACTTAGTACGCGATATCCATTAGAAAATATATCAAACAAATTGTCAGAAGGAGAAGCATCTGCTGATGATGAAGAGTACGTCGCTCCGTCGGCAGATACCATCGCCTTCGCCAGTGGAAATATTATTGAAAACATCAGAGATTTATTTAGCATGTGCAATGAACAGTGCGATATAGAATATTTGAGTATTTTATTAATTTAGATGATATTAAGGCATTTGAAACTATCCTTCCGTGATTCACATTCGTTTATGCATTCAATCGGTGATCTGACAGCAAAAATTCGTCAAAAATGGTCACGAATTTTCATATACAAGGATTTAGAAGAATTTACGAACGACGAACGTGGAGGTGGTAAAACCAGTGATAGTTTTTATGACACATTTCCTGAAGTTGAGTTCGAAGCACGTGCCTATGGATTTTCAGCCAAAGCCGGAAGCGTTGTGGATGAAGAATTAGCCGATTTCGTCGATAAAAATTACTAGGAATTGAACAGTACAACAAAAACTGACGACGGTCTGATAAGGTCTGTTTAATCACGTAGACTGGACCTACGTCGATAGGAAGCAACTTACAGTACCGATTCTCAACGTTCCTATTTCGAAGGATATGAGAGAGATGATGTAGTGGAACACTGAAATGAATTTGTAAAATACTTTCTCGAACGAGAAGATACGTATTATACGATCACCGATCACGAAGTGGAAAATTCCTACACCGTCAATGTTTCTCT